ATACTGTAGCTGCCCTAATAAGTTTATGGGATATTTGTAATTATTCTTGCATTGTCATTTTTTCATTTGATATATTTACAATGTAAAATTCAAATACTGCATTCATAACATATTTATTCATACTGTGTAAATACTTTTTTTAAGATGCTTTCTCAGAGTGCATTGGCATGGGAAACCGTCATATTCCCACAAAGTGTTCAGTTATTGGAAAAGTTGATTCTCCAGGTAATATACTGTATTCTTTTGTAAATGCCATTCCAAAATTATTAGTTTTATTTCCAATTTTGCCTTTAATCCCAGTAAACAAAAAACAAAATGTAGCCTTCAATGAATTTTTAAAATGTTGAATTTGTGCTCTAGTGGAATTATTGAAATTTTTTTCTTGATTTTGTGCAGGAACCATGTCAACTACAATTAGCTTTTCTCAGTATATTTTAGTTTATTTAAAAATCTATTAATGATATGGGAAGGTTCTTTAGCACATTTGATTGTTTGTGTTGTGCAGTGKTGTGAAGTACAAATAAAACAGCCTCAACTAATTGGGTGAATAATATGTTTTTAGGTCCAGCTCATGAACATCCTGTCATTTCATCTAAGGCCTCATTTCGGTATCCAGCTGGAATTGGTGTCCTTATCATTGATCCAGGGAAAAATGAAATAGCCTTTGTMTGTGATAAAGGGAACTCATGTATTAGGTTTGTTAAAGGTATCCACTCTTTTCATGGTGATAAATTTGTTGGAAAACTGAAGCTGCATTGTACACCAGAAAACTGGAAGCCAGAGGGCTTAACTGTAGTAGGCAGCACAAGGATTGCTGTGTCTGAGGCCTCTTGTGTATATTTAATTTCTATGGATGATACCCTTACTGCTGGTCAGTTAATCAAGATCATTGAAAATCTCCAAAGTCCCCGTGGCCTTTGTTTAAGTTTGAATAAATCATCAGAATCTATTTACGTAGCTGATCTTCACACATTAAAAGAGGTWGACATTGAAAGAAAGACAGCAAAAGTTGTGGCAGATGGCTTTCAGATGGCATTTGATGTGGCAATATCTAACAGCACTGAAGTCATTGGTGTTTCTGATGTCCAATCAAATAAGATCATTCTTTTAAAGTCCACTGGTGATGAAAGATTGACTCCACTAACTTGTGTGGGTAGTGGTATATCAGGATGCATGGATGGTCCAGCTTCAAAAGCACAACTCTCAGAACCCACAGGTGTGTGTTTTGATATGGACACAATATTGTTTTGTTCTTTTGGTGGGAAAGATAATGGTTACATACGTCTCTTTACAACCCTAAAATTTGCCTGTGAATTTATGGAAAACATCAGGAATATTTATGATGCTATTGGCTTCCTTCACAAGAAAGAGCAGAACCGTGTTGCAAGAACTGGTCAGAAACGCTTCATTTCCTTTGTTGATGGTGTCCAGTTACTCACTGACTCTCTTAACTTCTTGGAAAAGCTGATATCTGATAGAAAGACCTATTTAAACATCTCACCAGCTGGCCCAGAAGGCACTATGTATCATATATCTGTGAAAGGGTTTTCAGAGACAGTGTCTGCATTAAAAAAACATGTGCAAGGACTTGAGTTGTGTGGTTTTGGAGAGGTTTTATCATCTTTAAGGTTGCAGGSCTTTACCAATGAGTCAAGAAAAGAACATGGGTTTGCTAAACATAAACAGTCTGGGCAATACAGACACCCTACCAAACAGCAGTATTGTCATGCCAAAGGGTCTTACGAAGTGGAATTAATTAAGAAGACATGCAAAACGCCACATGCTTATCATACAAACACCTTTAGTGCGTACCAGCCTTGCCACAGCTCATCTCTTCCATCCGTAGAAACTGTCACACTGTACAAGAAGTGGAGCAAAGAGCTCAACCCTGAAGTTATTGAAGCCACTTCAATGACAGATGACGATAAAGAGAAAATGAGAATCGCAAGAATGTTAAACGATCTAACCAAAGCCAGACCCACCCAAAATATCAGAGATCTATACAGAGGAAAATGTGGATATGGCCCAAAAGTAATTTTTCAAAAAGACGCTGTCTTACAAGCTGGAAATGGGACTATGCGTCAATATCCATCCTTTTCAGAGCTAATGGCATCATTGGTTATACAACGAAGACAAAGGATGGAAGATGAAATTGAAGAGCATGTAAGRCCCAATGATTATCTGTTTGTGCCAGGGGATATTGTTGCTGTTAATCCTGGTCTGGAAAATGGCGTAGAGAGTGGAGACAAATGGTGGTTGCTGCAGATCAACAAAGCCCACCCACTGAGCAAGAACAAAAGTGGATGTCATGTGTTTGGTTTTTGGCTCAATGAAGCACAAGGAACGGRTGACCATAGGCGATRCTTTTCACTGGCATCTTCATCCTCCAAGATTTACTTTGGCAGCATCATCAAAGTCAACAATGTTCCTCTGGTAATCCCTGTTGAAATGCTAATTTCTGGGTGGAAAGATGGCTCAGTGATTTATTCCTTTGAAGAAGAATACTGTGTTCACCTCGACCAGTCATCTGTCAAATACCGTCAGATTCTTAACAATGATATTGAAGGCCAAGAAAGTGGTGAGGATGACAATACGGAAAGTGACCAGGATAGTGATGAGGATGCAGGACCCCATTCAATTGACCATGAACTAACTCTTAACATGATTTGTAGTGAACGACGACGGATCATCAGAAATCCTGATGGCCAAATACTGTCATCGTATAAAGATTTATACAAATCCAACACAAGATCAAGAAAAAAAACAAAGAAAACTGAAGAGGTACTTCTAAATGAAGCAGAGAGAGAAAGCCCTGAATTTGAAGATGAAGTGTGAATTATTTCACTATTTCTTAGTGACAGATAATGTCTTTTGTTTCATTTGTTTTGTCATTCAAATCAAACTGATCGTTATTGAAATATAATACATTTGAATGACCATAACAATTATTGTTACCAAAAAAAAAACCAAGGCATTATGGTTTTTCACAAGTAGAGAATTGTCTTATAAACTGTGGTAAAATAAGAAATTTTAAATAGTTTAATTGATAATAATTATTGATTGAAAGTTTAAAGTTATTGTTCTAGTTTTGAATCATCAATTTGCTATCTGAGAATTTATAGCAATTATCATTTTGTGAAGAACAAATCACAGCAAACCACTCATGTTGCTTGTTAATTAAAATATTATGTTTATAATATCTCATTAATAAAACAGTA